TGCAGACCAACATGGACCCCTGGAACGATCCATCCCGGTCCAACTTCAGTCCCACCGAAACCATCCAAAACGTTTGGGCTGACCAGGGCCAGAAGGGCGGGTGACGGTGGGCAAGGGGTCCGAAAGAATTCGCCACCAAGATCCCTTGTCCACGGCGCATGTGCATGCTGCATCATCTTGTGCTGTTTCGTTTTGGCCAAAAAAGAAAAGTTGTTGGACCCAATGGAAACAGAAAGAGAAGAAGAGTTGGCGTTCAAAATGTTTGTTAAGGGAACGAGGCAGAAAGATCTTCGCCATGCCATATACCATAGGGCCATAGTCAAGGGACACGCAATCCCATGTATATAATATAATATACATATATGAATTGATCCCTCAAGTCATTGGACATGTCACAAGCCAACAGGAATATGGCCTATGCTTAATGTAATGTCTTGTAACTTGTATCATGTTCTATACACGTGAGAACGACCCACAGAACCGGTGGTACCCAAACGACTTACCCCGGATGCAACGTCCAGACACCAGGTCTTCAAGGCGATTTGGACCATGTCTTCCAAGGTGAAGCAGGTCCTCAAGAAGCATGCTTCCGTTCGTGCCATTTGCCGCTCGGGGAGAAAAAACCTCCGCTGCCGGACGGTCCACCAGAGCAGCGAAATCCGTCACGGTGAATTGGGACCGTTCGGAAAGAGCACGCACGGTGTGCGCGGATCGGATGTTATTTTAGGGAGCCATTCATTGGACACATGGACCTCTTCAAAGGTCTGGCAGTTCAGGGTGGCCCCTTCGTGACCCAGGACTGTGATTTTGGGAGGATTTTACATGGTCAGTCGAAAAAATGCATGTGAAATCATAAAGTTGCCTGAGATGCAAAGCCCTGTCAGTTGTGATCGGATTTTCGCTTTGTTGCCACAATATGAATATTGCAGCTCCTTCTGTGAAGTTGTGTTTAAGACTTGAGGAATCCCCATGTTTAGCCCATTAAACGTAAGTTTAGACCGCCACACGTCCTGACGCCTCTTTTTTGCCCGTCCCCAAAATCCCGTCGCGTCCTGCCACGCCTCGCGCGACGCCCGGCACGACGCCCAGTGTTGGAGTGCACGGAGCTGCCTCCCTACGCAGACGCCCTTCGAGCGGAAACCAAGTTGCCCGTCTTCGACGCCATCACCAACGCGGACCCGCGCCGTTGACCGTCGTGTTGACCGTCGTGCACCGGTCGGTGCAGTTGCGTTTTTGTTTTTTTCGCATGGGGTTGGACTGCGGGTGGGTGAAAGGGATGATGGTTGGTTCAAGGTTGGACTGACACCACTGATTTTCCAGCGGTTTTGTGTTTTCTCTTTTACATTCTTCTACCAGTAGGATCAAGGGAGCATATAGTGGGGCAGTTGCCTGAAGGCAGCTTGGGAGAAAAAAATGCAAGGTACTTTTCCGACACTGCAAGCTTCGACGATCAGTGATGTCCAGGACTTCTTCATCTCCGCGCGGCGAGACAATCCCAGATTTGGCGGGGAGCCCGGCCTGTGTTTTAAACCACTGCAAGTAGTTCCAGGACTTCTCAACCACTGAACATTCTCTCATACGCCCTAGTGCTTGAGTGGTGTTTGCTCTTGCTTGAACAGATGGAGATTATGGATTATGAACTCAGTTGCAAGATGTGCTGGTAGCCCAGGCTTTAACCAATGGCAGTTGGATTGGGATGGCACCCAAGATGAGTATGAGCAACCTGGCAGCATGGGACATTTGGAGAAGATCATCAGGGTGGCCAATCAATCCCCCTTGTCTTTGGTCATTTGCGCCAATGAAAAGCTGACACAAGACCTGAAGTTCGATCTTTGGAAGGTGCATTTCCTCCGAAGGCCAGCTGGTTTGGGGTTCCACAGCAGCTTTTGCTTGGTTTGGTACAACCAGGTACACCCAAATGATAACGAAATGTTACATGTTCCTTACAGGCTTCCTACCCACATGGTGGGGGAATTTCCAACTCGGTACATGTACCACCGCGGCGTCAATTTAGGATCTGCTCGTGGCTGGGTATACGCGGAGTGGATTTGCACTATACAACTCCATTTCTCAAAGCTTCATCCCAGAAAGCACTCAATCAATCTCCTTAGTTTTCCCCCACAGTTCTTTCATTCAAAAGACTGACCCTCAGGTTCCACCCTAAGATTTAGGATACAAACAGATCATCTCTCCTGGGCATTCCAAACCTTCACCTCTCCCCTGAAGTTCGCCTCGTCCCCCGGGGACGACGCTCCCTTCTCCGCTGTCCGCGTCCGTCTCCTCGTCTCGCTCGGTCGGCTTTTTGTCAGGTTTGGGAGCAACCTGACAGCGGCACAGGCTGAGAAGCTATTGAACTAAAACGAACTAATGCACCCAAGTTTCCGACCCCCCAGACACAAGGAGGTCCGTTTCTGCAGAGTCTCTTTGATTCATCGGATTAGATGGATACGTGTATTAGGTGTTTGTGTGGCCTAGCCACAATATAAAAGAAGTTGTTGTTGGCCCCTGAATTCTGCAGTGACTTACACTTGCTTGGAGAGACATGTGGAGGTTATCAAAGATAAATAGTACTTTGTGGGCTAGCCGTATTGTCCCGCACTGGTAGTGGTTGCTTTGGTCATCCTCAAGTAGATAACATATGGAACAGTCCAAAAAGACACAAGATATTGTCATAGAGTCATATAGCTACTTACAGTAGTAGTTTGGACGTGCTCTTGCACCGTTTTTTCTGTGAGAAGGGGACTTACTTACTTTTGGATCTATGTGGCATTGAGTGTCCAATCTAGGTGATTATTGTAGGGCAGGATAGTCCCAGATAGTCAGAATCAGACCCTCAGATCCTAATAGTCTATCGAGTTTCTCGTCTTTGTCTTTCACCCTTCAATACCATTCGGTTTTGACAGCAGGATCATCAATACACATTAGGCAAAGTAGCTGCACATTCACAATGCGAGGGGGGGTTCATGATTTGTTTCTTTCGCTTCCTGGCCATGTTTCACCTAATCAAACGTCCACCCGAAGCTCTTCCGTCACCGATTTTGCTCGCGCGGGGGTTGGAAACCACGAGTCCCAAAGTTGGAGCCTCAAATCAGATGGCGAATGTGAAAGCACATCGATCGCCTCTTTGTCGGCCGTTGTTCTTTACTCGGCCCGGGTCGCGAGACCAGAGAAGTCCATCGAACGGTGCTGGATTTGGAAGAAACGCCAGGACTCTTTGAAGCTGCAATCCAACGGGTTTTTTTGTTACGAGAGAGGCTGATGGCGACGTGTCTAGGGCGATCCAACAGTCCACTTTTCACTGGGCAGATGCACCAAAAAAGCAAATATTGTTTCTCAGATTTTCTCAGGTCGTTCTCACCAAATCCGCCGCGGTGGACAAATCCACAGACCCGACGCCAAACCTCCTCTCTGCGGATGGTCTCTCACAAACGTGAGTCGATCGTCGTCCGCGGACGGTTCCGGCGTTTGTACCTCGATGCTCAGAGGTCGTTATATATTTTCTAGGGAGGTCGATCGGACCCCCCAGAGTGTGGCGTTCAGGTTGAGGCGATGTTGATGTCATCCGTCTTCATTGAAGCGTAGATCCAGGGATGATATAAGTGTTCAGAATGGTTCAGATCCAGGTCAATGAAATTGCAAGCAGGAGGTAGCAGAAGGGATAGAAAAGACAGCCCAGATGATTTGAAGAATAAGGAAAACATACACTACACACGTCAAAAGAGCCAGATCGCAGGCTGTCTGGAAATGGTGAACCTGCTGCGCTCTTCAGATATTTTTGGGTCAGTCCTCTGGAGGCTTACTTGAGGTTGTGGTAGTTTAATCTGTACATAGTTACTTCCTTTGTAGTAATTTTTGTATGCTTTTGTTTAGTTGTGTTTAGCTATAATTATTAAATATACTTACATGGTTTACAGTGTAATATATATGTTGCCAGAAGCCACAGTTTTGGGGGGCTAGGGCCTATAGGGTTTGGTTCAGTCCAATGTTTACCATTGACAAATGCATGTGTCCCAAACTGTGTGTTGACAGCATATGGGCATGCTCATCTCAGAAAAGAATCAACCCGAACATGGGTTGGTGGCAAGACAGGAAGACAGATCGTTTAGGGGAGGATGCCAGAAGGCTACAAAGCCATACTTACCATATACTTACTTATCTCCAAGCTTAAACAAAACAACTACCTGATAGCGCAAGTCATTTCTAAAGCTGTCGAAGGGAGGGCATCAGTTCTGGGTCGATCATCATCGATCATCTCTTCAATTGGCCTCAGGGCCTCACCAAAGGAACCAGGACTTGAATTCAAAATCCATCGGCGATCCCTTTCGTCACAGACTCAAGGAGAACCATGCCATGTCATGAACGGAGCTGAGTTTCGCTATTCTTAACCGCACTGAGACTCTCCAGAGGCTGACATTTGGTGTCAGTTACACAATTTCGGCCCCGGCACTGGGTTTGAGGGGAGATTACAAGAGTTGCCTTCTGCCAAGTCAAGCGCATTCAATCGCCATGGCGTATGAAAGGAGTCGTAAACGCAGGGCAGGTCTGTGCGCGGCGTGCCGCTTTGATCCCCCCTCGGGCCTGCCCACAAGTTTGAAACTGGCGCAACTGCCGGCTGACGCCAAAAACACTGAGCATGCAGCTCGCGCAGAAAAGGTTGAGTTCATGGTGGCCACGTCAGGTCAATTGGTTTCGAGTTTAATGCCAATGTGCAGTATGGCTTCCCAGACGTCTCTTTTGGAAGTACCGTCAAAGTTATCTCGAAATGCTTGTGAGCGAACTAGCATGAGATAGCCTTGTTTGGTCAAGAAGACCGTTCCAAGGCTCACGACTTCTCGCAGAGGGTAACCATGTAGCTGTCGCCGGAGATCCTACTTTAATTTACTAAGCAAGCCTGGGTGCAAATTTGCTCTGATGTTGTGATTGTGCATGACTCACGCAGAGCCATCTTGGCGCGTTTGCGCGCTAGGGAACGTTCATCGCACCAAAATGTTCATTGCCAGGGATTGGAATGGAACAAGATCGTCAAGAAGGTTGCAAACTGGCGTGCCAAGTGGGCCTCTTGCTGGCAAAGTTGGTCCGAGTCTGGGAAGAAGACTGAAGACTCGATCGGGGTCGTTGAAAGGAGCATGTTCAAGTGAATTGATATATTAATTTGCAGTTAAACATGAGACTCCTAGACTCCTGAAGCAAACTGGTGTCATGTAAATATATATATATATTACGTATATTATATATATTTTGTGTGTTGTTGACGTGGTCCCCTTGGTTGACCGACATTTGCAGGGTTATGCTGTGTTTGATCCTTGCAGGTGGGGTCATTTTGTATTTAGACCAGTGTGTCCAATACAAGTCAGACACGTCTCTCGTGACGTCTGGCGCAGGTGGTGGTTAAGAGGTTTTGACTGGTTTGGGTGGGAGCGTCAGTGTGAACGTTCTATTTTGATTGGTGCATCCTTGCGCCCTTCAAGATGGTACGTTCAAGGTGTTTGTTCACGGCACTGCCATGTATAAGGGAATAGTTCCAGAATCTCGGGCTGTCATTTCGTCATTCCATTCCCCTCTAATTCAGCACCGGCGACCCTTGGAAGCGAACCGTGTTCAACTCGCTGTGCAAGGCAGTGAAGCTCAAGCGCTTTGTGGAGGAGGCCAAGTTCGTCGGCGACGAGTTGGTGAAAGACACCGTGTTTGAAAACCCCGTCATACTTAGTAGTAGAGTTTGGGTTTGCTTGGTAGAAATAAGCATGAGGTCGAGGTCTACAGATTCAGATGCCTTTTGCAGCTCCCAAATTTTGCTGAATTTAACTGCTATTTTACTTGACAACTCTGAGGTACTTAATTTGCAAACCGTGTAGTCGAGCTAGCATAGTGGCCCCAAGGAAGACTGGAGAGTCAATACCCAGGATAAATGTGCACTTGAGTTGCTTTCGTTTGGTTATATGTATATATGATATATATGCTTGTCACTTGGCACGTGGTGTCACTTCTTGGTGTCATTTCGACGACCAGCTCCCGTCGTCCCGAGCTCGGGACGGCGACGCGCTCCGGTGCAGGCGTACCCGACGGAGTTCAACGCCAAAGCACTGAACCGCGAGGTGAGGAACCGAAAAAGGTCCGGGCGAAATGCCCCGTTCGTAGCGATGCCCTTGTTCCTAGTAGCGATGCCCTTGCTCCTAGTAGTAAGGCCAGGAGCCCCTAGTAGCGTCTTTGCTGATAGCGTGGAAGCCCAAAAAAGAGTTGAAGCTCATACAAAATGTGAAAGAGATTTGCGCCAAGTCAGCGTGTCCAACTCGGCAAACCGAGCTAAAGCCGGCGCATAGATCCAGGAAAAACACATTTGTAGATGGAAGAACTTGCAACTGTTGGCGGCGAGGTCGAGGCACACCGGCCATGTGGGGATTCCCCTCGTACCACACCATCAGCCGCAGGTGGAACTGCTCTTGCAGGGTGAGGATCCTTATGCTGCCATGGCCACTGCACAGGAAGAGGCCGCGTTTCGGGAGATGTGGATCCAAAAACTCTAGAGTATGCCATGTGACACACATGTGGCACATGGGGTCAAAATATGATCTCCAAGGATTTGCACCTCATTGGTTTTGCTTGGTGAAGACAAACCGCTTTTCTGGGCAGAAGAAAGTCACAGTTCGGACTTTGGTCCAAACGTTTAAAACTCTTCAGCCTGTTAGCTAGGGGAGCACCTCTCTAAATCCCGTGATCCACAGCCACGATGCCCATCGGCTTTCAGGGGTTCAAGTGGGTTTAACCGCTTTTCCGCTCGCTTTTTCATGGGGTAGGGAGGACCCAGAAAACAGTCCATCGAATTCAATTACTCTTCTCAGTCGTTTCAGGCTATTGGGTTCCATGGTTGTGCTAATGTTTCTTCCATGCAAGACAGCCCAGTAGCTGGGCATGTTCGAAGGTACATCCTACTCCAGATCCCTAGTTTTTGAACGTCCATTGGGAGGCTGCAGCTGAGAAGGATGAGTTGGACGTGAAGGACGAGGTGCCGTCCTCCCGGAAAAAAGAAAGCAGACGAGTTCAAAGCCCAGTTGGTGTGGGACGTTCAACCCAACTGAGGAGTCCCAAGCATAATTTGGCTGTTTGGTTTAGTATCGTCCGGGTCCGGGATTGGTTTGGTTTGGGGCACCGTGCTCATTGTGCTGGGCAAGTTTAGCATTTCGGTGCTGGACTCTCAGACTCAGAATTCTCCGACTGAGTGACGATTTGGATTCAGGTTGAATACCCATCAAGACCGGAGCCAACGCGCTGTCCAGTAAAACATGTTTTTGAATGCATGACAACGACCTCCCCCCACAAAAAAATATCATTTGGCAAGAGGTTGCCCACTTAAAGACCATGCAATGTTCGAAAATTGTTCTGTTCCCCATGTTTAATTCTGAAGCTGTTTGGCTGCCAACGTCGGCCCATCGCCGCTTCCAGGGTGGTGTGAAGATGGAATCCTTTGAGCCGGTTGGGGACGCCAGACTTACTCGGGTGACGGAGTCTGGTCGGTCACGGAAGGTTTTTGCGCATGAAAATGGAGGGGCTTCCGCTATGGATGGGCTTTGTGCAGAGCGTGCCATGTGTTGGAGCTTTGTTGATTTAGGAAATGCTTGTTGAACCTCTGGACCCCAAGACCTACGAGCTTTCTACAAGCTGCATTTGGTTGAAACACGAGTGTGCGCTTACTTGCGGGTTAGCTGAACCAACCTTGTTCGAGATGAAGTATAGCTGCTGGGTGGCGCAGAACCTCTTCATCCAAAACCTTCACTGCTTTTATCGGCGAATCCGATCGCTACGCTCGGAGCAGAGGCCACCCTCTCTCTTTCGCGAGGCCACCTCTTTCTCGGGCGCCCGACCGGGCTGGTGCTTCAAGATGGGCCGGGAAGCTGAAAAGACTGTTCGTCGCCGCGTTTGGTGCGGGCGAAGCCCGATGAAGATGGATTTTGAGGATTTTCCGGATTCCAACCCCCCTGAAAAGCCCGAATTGCACTCCTAGAATCTTCCGGTGCTGAGTACGGCAATCAATCCCAGGGAGGACTCTATAGCCGCTGCAGTGGCCGGACAAAATATCAACAAATCAAACAAACCCCTGAATTGTGATACCCGCTCTACCCCCACAGTTTGACGTTGAATGGGGTCTCCTTCGGTTTGCGAACCAGTATTGGTTTGATTTCTCCCAAACTCTTTGTTTCGCTTGGACAACGAAGGATCAAGATGAGTCCGGTTTGAGATGGTTTGAGTATACTATTCATCCATCTATGCCATCTATGTGAGTCAGTTGTCCACCCCTTTGGGAAGGGATCAAGATGAAGAGGTGAGGAGAAGAGATGCCCACTATACAAAGGACCAGAGGGCCAGAAATGATTCGTACGCATCAGATGCAAACTTTCTTTGTTGGCATGTTTGAAGTCATGTTTGTAGTGTAATTTATATATATATATATAGACTTGGACTTAACTGTAAATATACTATATTGATATACTGGTCCAAGTCTGTTGGCCGCAGCCGTTTTCTTTTTAAGCCGCTAGGTTGAACGCACATGTTAACTAAAAGAAAGCAAACAAAGTCCATGTCCCACCTCAACCAATCTGACCTAAACCGACCCATCCCACCGGGTATCGCACCGTGCTCCCATGACGGTGGACAGTGCCGCGCTGCTGAAGCCGCCGGGCGGAAGCTCACCGCTCCACCGGAAGCACAGCGGGAGCGCGGAGGACTACGTGGACAGCGCGAAGGTCACCGGTGCCTTGGCCGGTCGGAGTTGAACGCGGGGGGGGAGGTTCTCCCGATAATGGTGGTTTGCTAATACTTGCAGTTCCTAGCTTCATGAAAACTCTCATTTTGTGTTAATTTTGGTTAAAGATCATGCAAGATCTAAGTGTGACGGAAGAAGGGTGTGGGGACCCTTGGTCCTGGCAAACCCCTTTTTCCGAGTGTAATCCGGCGATATGCCAAATGGGTTCCCCGGGGTTTATTTTTGGAACACGCCCAAGCAAAGCTTTCCAGAGTATCAATGCTCAATGGTAGTAGAAACTCGGTAAACCACTCATCAAGCATATACATCGTACAACCATGGTGTCAGTCCATTGTGGGTGCACAGTACTCTGCAGTGCACACTCTCCCGGTTTCGGTCATACAAGCCGTTGGTTTGGTGCATGGTTCAGTTCTTGTGCCATGCAGCCATGCATGTCTCAGAAGGCGTGGAGGAGACTTACCTCAGCCAAAACGGCCAAGACAGCTCTTCTATTTGATCTTCTCCATCCAATCCCATCCGATGACATGAGTCTCCCACTCACTATGAAAAGATCACGATGCGAACTACCGGCGGGTTGAGCATGCGTTCGAACCGACATCTGATGGGATGGCAATGGCATGTTCAACTGTTTGAACCATCCCATCTGTCACAATCCCATTTGCTGGATCTGGAACCCAACAAGGTACGTGCGATGGCCATGTGGGGAGCATGCATCTCCCCCACTGCGTCTTGAACGTCATCATGGCGGTCTTGGGTGCCGGACAGCTCACTTTGCCCTATGCCATGAAGCTCTTGGGTCTCCCTTTGGGCGTCTTGGTGCAAAATGCTGAGCCACACCAACAACAGCATCTACATCCCTCCAAAGAAGGAGCTATACCAATAAGACTTGCGTTCATTCATTGAATACAAGTCCAGTATTTTACTCCACAGTTGACTGCCTCAAACAAAAGTCATTAAGGCCATCTTGGGAGTACTTACAAAGTGCTTCTGCAAGTAAAAGCCATTGAAGAGCCGGCGTGCAGCGACAAGCAAGCACGATTCTCAACAAGAGCTCCAAGCGACAGTAAGTGGGCGTGCCCACTTAGCACAGGGGTGTCACCAACTCTCTGAAAGCATTCTGCCCAAGGAAAGCATATGAACAGACCCACCGGCCAATGGAAAGCTTGTGTATATATACGCAGGGAAAACGGGCGAAAACGGCTAAACAGAGTTGGGTGGGTTTGAACGACGCTGTTTCTTTTCTGTATGGATTTCTGAGACGGAACGAATCGAAGACTTGACTTTCTCGGCAAAAAAAACAGTGGTCTGTTCGAAGCAGTTTGAGACCTCAGTTGTTGAGAACAGACCACAAACTTCCAGCTGCCGTTGCATCCAGTTCACTTGATCAAGGATTCTTCTCACTATGCTTCTTCACTGTCCTTTCAATGCATTCCGTGAAGACGCTCAGCATTCACGAGCTGGAGTTCACTCCCTCAGGCGAGGCGCGCAAGCGCGCAAGCGCATGCTGCGAGGGCCTGCATGCGAGGCGCTTGTTCGTTCACGCCTTGGCGCTGGAGTGTCCTAAGAGTTGAAGAAAAGAAGATCTCACTCAAGCACCAGATCAACAATTCTGCTCGACATAGGTTATCTATCCACAGAGTGGAGCAAAGCATGAAAAGACAGGCGCGTGTCCCCAAACTCACACTGGACAGAGCACGGGTCATGTGTTCTGTAACGCCTGACATGCAAAGTGTTCCCGACAGTTATATAAAGACGACCTTTTTCTGGCAAACGTTTGAAGCAGCTCGCGTGATTGGTTGCTTGCGGGGGCTCCCTGGCAAAAAGATAATCACTGACATGAAAAGAGAAGACCTGGAGAGCAAAGCTCTTTGCATGTCGCCGTTGGTGAGTTCTTCCTTTGGCAACTCGCTGCAAAAAGTGTGTTTTTGTTGCATTGCCTTGAAGCTGCTGGTTGGAGGCCACCGCAGGTTGGAGGCCATCGCTATTTGTTTGTATTGCCTTGAAGCTGCTGGTTTGCATGAGACGAGGCATACAACATGATAGGTTCTCGCTGGTCTCAGCACTAGGTGAAAGAAGTGGCAAGGTGCAATCTCTATGATGCTATAGGTTTGGACATGTTTGGACAACTAATGTGACTGGTTGTTGGGGTCTCCAATCAATACTGGGAGGTGGAACCTGAACCAGACCAGGGAGGGGCTGGGCCAGACACTTTTGCCAGGATGGAGAAGTTGATTTCTTTTCCCGAACAAGGGAAACTTCATTTCGGAAAGCAGAACTGTTCGTTTTTTCCATGACAACATAAACTCTTCAACTCCTCAACAGCAGTTCTCTCAAGCTTTGGCCAACTCAGATATTTGGGATCTCGCCTGGACACCTCGCCTGCTTCCTGCCGCAAGAGTTTAAAGCCGGGCGCGTTCGACGTAGTTCGTCGATCTTCGTCCTTGCTATGCAGCTCCTGCGGTGTCCTGGCGCAGTCCAATCCTTCACAGAAGAGGGTATTAATGGATATGAACACAAGACAAGACATCTTCAATGGGCTGTCCAATGTTCCGCATTCCACCTGTTTGATGAGGCTAAGTCATGCTAGATAGAAAGGGAGTTCTTCATCTGTAAGGCATGAATCCTTTGTATGAATCTACATCTTGTTGGGGGCCAATCTGAGTATGGGAGATTTTTGCCCAAAGAACCCAAAATGTGTTGCTAACCTATGAGGTCCCATTCATTTCGCGGTTTTTTGAGCATCTCTTATGGACTCTTTGAAGACCCAAACCCTTCCCTTACCCAAAACTGTGGGCCTAAGTGGACCCAGCATCAACTAATGTGACGGGTTGTTGGGGCACGTCTTCTGGAAGCGCAGCGGGTCCCAATCAAATTAATACTGGGAGCTGGAACCTGAACCAGACCAGGGAGGGGGTGGGCCAGACACTTTTGGCAGGGAGAAGTTGATTTCTTTTCCCGAACAAGGGAAACTTCATTTCGGAAAGCACCTGTCATTGCTTTCAATGGTCCTGTAAAAAGGTCCCAGCTGGAGCTCCAGTGTGAATCCGCCGTTGACCTTGACCTGCATCGTACCCGAGCCTTGGAAATGGTCAGGCCAGAGCAATCAGCCGCCCTCTGCGGCTTCCAGTCCGTTCGGTCGGAGCTGGCCGATGCCAGACTCCAAGTTCAGCAAAAGACGAGTTTTCAGGGAACCTGGCGAATGAACAGCCCTCAAATTTTTCTAGGAAGCCAGATCAAAACGATGGTGTCAAACCCTCAATCCATTCAATCATATCACAAGAAGATGGACTGCCTCAGACTGATTTCCAAGGACCAGCAAAGGATGCTTGAACCCAACTCAGAGCTATTGGTGAAATCGCCGACTGAGTTTGTCCTCCAACTTGCTTGTTTATGGTTTGCTGCCCAACTGGGCTCCATGGTTCGTACAGTGGCACAGGGGGCTCCTTGACAGCCAAAGCTTCTGGCTGCTTGACCGGGGTGGAGTGGGTTGGGTTGAGTATGAGTGAGTGTACAAGTGCTATGACGCCGGCGTACACCCGGCCATTAGACAGCTCGATGGCCTTTGGGCAGTCTGAGCGGATAGGGCCCCAGAAGAACCTGCTGGAATAGCAGATTCTCTGAGGAGGAAGAGGCGAAAGGAGCCTTTCCGGGAGCTGAAAGATATGTGATCTGCAGGAAAAAAAAGGAGGAGGAGGTGGAAGGTGCAGCAGGCTGACAATCCTGGGTAAGGGAGGACAAGCCCGCAGGCGGCGGAAAGACGCCTTCAGCGACAAAGAGACAACCAGCGCGAGCAGCCCCAAAAGGCCATCTGGGAAAGATGCCCAGTGCCTGCCAGGAAAAAGAAGAACAGGAGTGCTGCATGCAACCCCAGCGGAGCGTAGCATCATGTCTCGAGGCAGCCTGATTTGCGCGCTGAGTTTTCGACCCCGGTCTTTGACCCCGGTCAAACAGATTGGCATTTTCAGTTTGGTGGGCTAAGCGGTGGTGGCGCTTGTTGCTTCCTGAACATCCGGAGGGGTGGTAAGCCAAACAAGAAACACTCCCAAGGACCTGCGCGTTGCACCATGACTCACACAGAAAGGGTCGGGGCTTTCATTGCTTCTCGCGAGTCGCTCTTCCAATCCATGTTGGCAAAAACTGAATGAACAGATGTAAATGAAACATTTCCTGCTTGTGGTGGCATGAAACAACTCTACACGCGAAAACAATTTGTCAAAAGCACCCCCACGTGGCTAAACTAAACATTTACCGCCTTAGCTAAAACCTTACCCAGAAGGTTTCCTAGTCGTACAAAGTGTTCCTTTTGCTTTCAGCGTTTCTCACGGACTTCTCTTGGAGAGAGATGCATATATACAGGTACAGCATCAATTTCGCCTACCCAAGTGTTCGTTGGACCTTTTAAGTCAACTATATTTTGAGCAAAGGGATCCATGTTGCATGAAAAGTTGCTCTGTTGTGGGGGTCGCCGCTTTAGAAGGGTTCTTGCTTGAGATGTTTTCTTTGCAAGTGCAATGTTCTACCACAACCTATTGGGCTAGAAGGGGGTGTTGAGCAAAGAAAGAGGAATAGATTACATGATATTGAAAATCAGCTGCAGACGCCGCCCAATGTTGAATAATAAGAAGAGAAACTAACTAAGAATAGTACTAACGTTGGACATGAATGTAACCAACGAACTATCCAACAAACAAACGAACTAACCAACTAGCTAACTAACTTCGGTGGGCGGAACGACTCTGTTTAAGTAGGGGAGTGGCTAACTAAAGAGTTCTAGGTACCAAGAGTATTTGAGCACATGGTGTGGATAGATGCCAATCAATAGCCCAATCAATGCACTTGCATCTCCCTGCTTAATCCGCATTTTCATTTGTTCCCACATCCCCAAACAGTCTACTGTTCGGGTTCTCTTGGGAAAAATCGCACTGGCCGCAGTCTCTGGCGTTGTCCTCCTGCCGTCCTCTTCTTGTCCTCCAGTTGTCCTGCTGGCCGTGCTCGCGAACCCTGTGTCCTCCTGTCTTCCTACTGTGCTCTGGCTGCGCTTGCGAGCTGTGTCCTCCTTCTGTCCTGTCCTTTGGCCGCGCTGTCTCGTCCCCTTGCTCCCCAAAGTTTGGGTATGTGTGTCCAGCTTGGCCACACAGTTGGCCGTGCCGTTTTGTTCAGGCTTGGCCTTGCCCAATGCTTGTCCAGGTCTGTGCGTCCTGCTTGGCAGCCGCTTCCCCTTTTTTTCACCGCCTTGCCCGGGTATGTTTTCGTGTGCTATACATGCGACAGAAATGCAGCGTTTGATATCATCCTTGGATCCTCTCATGATATCCCTTCGTGTTTGCGCATGTGATCTCGGGAATCAGGGACTAGTGTTTTCTCACATTTTTCACTACATGCCCTTTCCAATACAGACCTTCGTGGACGATCCGGAGATATTGCCAGTAAATGTTCACGTGCTTCAAATATTCCCAAACAATACTCTCATCATGTGACATATACAGGCATGCGTTCACCTGAGGTGGACACTTCACATGTTCAGTTCGTTCACCCGTTTCAATGCCTGAAAAATGTGGAAATCTGTCCATGCATCCTCGCACCAGGCCAATGCTTGGAGTCCTACTCAGCACCTTTTCTGCATTTTGGGGAGAGAACGTTCACCTCGGTGGGTTACCCACAGTACAAAGGTTGTTGCTCTTTTCATTTGTTTGGACATGATACGCAAATTTGGACGATAGCGGGTTCCTCACACAACAATTTACCCAGATGCCTGCCGCATGGCTACATAACTGCAATGTTTTGCGGCATGTCTTTTCTTTCTGTTTGTTCTTCGTAGTTTTGGGGGGGTTCAATGAACATTGTTCACCGTATGATTGGTGCCTTGTACCTTGTATTCGGGAATGCTAAACACTGGCGTTGCATCATGCATCACCCCACAGCACCTGGATATTTCATGTCATAACGTGTGTAACCAATTAGTTGTGCTGATGTGCCAACGGTCCGGCGGTTGGTCATTGGTCAACATGGTTCACAAACTGCCGCGCCCCTTCCCGGTTCACCAATCAATGTTTCTGCTGGCTGTGAAATCTGCCATTTGCAGGTTTACGAAGATTAACACTTGAGACCGCAAAACGAAAGGATTCAAAAATGCACCTACCGCGACAAGGGACCATCAAGTCCAAAAATGTGCACAGCACCACAACGAGAGCGTAGGGGTGAAGCAAACATCCCACCAGCACGAACTCTGGCAACGAACCCTGCCCCCCCTCACTTGAGCAACCTATTTTGCAGAAAGAAAGGTATCAATGTTTAACAATACCGCACAAAATCCCTCCATACCATTCCATGCCAACCATATAGATGTTTATCAATTAAAAATGTTAAAACAACAAATATCGTCAATGGCGTGCATTTGTTAAACATCATTGGGTACAATGGAATAAAATGTTTTTTTTTTCGTGATATGTTTAAACATATGTTTCATAGAAATATGCTGGAACATGTATCCCACCTAACACCCACCACCGATCACCCGACCGCTATTGTAGCGTTGGCCGCGCAAGACCCGGCTAAGAGGTGTCATAGACTCTGTCCATGACTGGTGGTTTTTGAGGGACATCCCAACCTTTCACCCAATGGATGACAAGCACGTGAAGGAAAAATATGCCCTTCATGAAAATAGATACTCACCTACTGAAATTGTCCTCCCCAGTAAAAACCAACCAACACTACCCAAACAACTCCAATCGAGTCACTCCTTCTTCCTCAAGGAGCTGGTGACTCGTATGATGGGTATTTCGGGATCTTTGCTTTGTCAGCTACTGCTGGTCGCCTATGCCTGGGGCGGTGCTGTGGCCTTTCTGGTGATCTTAAAGTCGGGCAGACAACACGCGAAGCGAGCGAGCGACTGCGCAAGCTCCCGGAAGAGTTTGGTTCGGGTTCGAAAGATAGGGAGGATTTTGGTTGGTGCATAAATGGTGTGGCAATTGTATGTAATCAGTCTGGAGGTTCCATTTTGTTTGTCAATTCATCGTTGTCCTTTCGAAAAAACTCGCGCACCGGAGGGAAGCAAATATCAGTGTGTCACGGTGTGTCCATATGTATGTCCAGCAACCTTCCTGGTAAAACGAAGGCACGTGTCCGCACGTCCAGATCGCCGTTTTGACGCAGGGAGCAGTTCCAATTCCTTTTTCATAACGACTTGGCAAAATATTGCGGAGAAGCTCAGCTGGCTAACCTAAATTTTCTTTTGTGGATTTAAACAGTTTTCTTGAGGGGTAAGCTCGTACTTCCCAAGTGCTAGCTGATCGAATGAGGAAGAAGATGTTGGCCGGGTCTTGCTTTGCATCATGTCATTGGTCTTCTTGTGGCCTCTAAGCCCCTCGGCACCAGTGGGGGTTTGGTTGGTCGTTTTTTGATTGGCAATCTGCTCCACTGCACGCTGAAGAATCCACCGTATCTAAAGGCTTCGAGGAATCAGGGCGATGTTTCTCATCATACACGAGTAGCCTTCCACTGTTGGTGTGCCAGGTCCGTTGCTGGTTGCCCCTAGATGGGTAAGTGACTTTCCAAGCCGACTCCAAAGCCACATGTTGTCGAATGCGGGAATTACAGTGGAACATGAATCAGTCTTTTTTGGTCTTCGTTGTTTTCTTGGTGCTTCCAAAAACAAATAACATGTTTGTTCATCATGCCTTGGAAAACCACAGCCACAATTATTTTGGCCACAGATGAACAAGCGAATTGTATCAGAAGTCCTACGTAGGAGTTCAAATTTGCATATGTCCATTCTTGACCCTGCCCCTCAAAGCTGATGCGATACATTCCTTCAAGTATTAGTGGTGCATCCTATGCATCTTCTACATATCTCAGATTTCCATGTAATTATGCGTACAGCTCCTTCTCGAACCATATCTCCGGATCTCCCGACCATGAGCCGGCCCGAAAATCGCCCAAATCCACTTTCCAACGTTCAAACAAACCATTGTTGAGCTCTCCCTGCTACCTTTCTTGAGGCTCTCGTCAAGATCTCTCCTTTCTGAAGAGTTTTTCCTGGCTTGGCTGTGTGGCCGCCCTGGTCATCACCAGCATCACCTTCGTGTCGCGGTGGTGTTCAGGTTGCGGCGGATCGATTTGGAGAGAAGTATACTATATTATACTATCCCTAATATGGGAGTTGCCCAAGTGCAGCATCAATGAGTGGTTCTGTTGGGTTGCCCAACATGCACATCAACCATCCAACCAACAAGGAGTTTGGACAGGTGCTCAAAGGGACTGAAGCCTACTGACACCAAATCCCAAGATAAGGATGCTTGGAACTTGAGCCCGAAGTTGAGGTCACCCCAGCGCGGTTCACTCCCAATGACAGGTGGAATGTCCTGCTTCGAAAAGACAGATTTCAGAGACGGGAGATTGTTTGCTCCAAAGTGGGTTCAATTGATTCTTCAATTGATTCCAGTATTGCATGGTTTCAATGACCCACCAAAGTCTGAATTCAAGTCCAAACCTCATTATCAATGCTTGTGACACGGACGCCCTTCTGCTTTGCGCTCCGAGGTTGGTTGGAGATATTTGGACGAGTATATTGAAGACAGCTCGCCCACACCGACGCCCACACCCACGTTGATGAATTTGGCAGCAGCACTGCCTTTGCTGGCATTTTCCCTTAACTCAACTTGGGCGTTCATCCCGGTCTTGTGCACCTTGTCAGAGAAGCATGAGAAGCGCAGTCGCATGGATCAATTGATTTTCTTCAGCAATTTTCTCATCTTCGCGAACTACACAGTGCCTTTGTTTGCAAGACCGAAGCCATTTCCCTCACCTGAAACTAACTTTGCTCCCACCTCCAGAGGAAGCCATCAAACTAGCTGTAACTAGTTCCGCTTCCACCAGGTCCTTGCGGTGTGTGGCTACATGACCTTCGGCCAAGAAGTGAAAGCAAACATCATTGACTCTTTGGGCCCCTCGGCAAGGGGCGATTCTCATCGTTTTCGCCTTCGGCGAGGCGGTGCAGTGCAAGAGGCCTTTTTTTTTCCCGTGGCCCTGCCTGTTTACTTAATTATGTAGGCGCCTACTTGCTTAAACAAGGGAGAAGTTCTCTCCTAGCTACTCAAGCTACTAGTATGGAAGCAGGATAGCTCACGCTTCTTCAGGGAAGCTCCCCCCCGCCTCAGGGCGGAGGGCAGCTTCCTTGAAGAAGCGCTCGCACTAATCATATGATTTGGTTCCTAGATGTTTAGGATTGTTTAGGCAAACGTGGGGAGGATCACAAAGGATCACGAAGGGTCACGAACCATTCTGGCCGCAATGGCCAGCTGCTTTGTTTTCTGAGTGTTTCGATGATCTTCTCACGAGTCACGAATCGGGGACAAAAAGTGGAAGAATTTCTGGTGAAAGCCCATCAGATCACGTGCAAAGTCGAAGTTTGCCAGGTCAAGTTTGCAGTCCAAGTCGTCGGTGACGGACTGGTGGCCATTGAGTGGCAAGGTGTCTCCGAGGTGTGGTAGGTGACTCAGTACTGTCCATGCTACAGTACTCTAGAATACTCTCGAGACGACTACAGATTGACAAGTTATTTCCTCAACCTGTGGGCCCTGCTCGGAGCTCTCCAATATTCTCCAATAGAGTCTGACGAGTAGTCCAGTGGTGCCCCTGACAGGAAAGTCCAGGTTGGCAACATGTCTTCAGTTTCCTTATATACTCAAAAGGGCTCTCAGACCCAGCGACAGTAGTTTTGGGTGAGATTTCCCACAAGTTCGGCGCCTGCCTTTAGACTTGCTGCGTTTGTCCCCAAAGGGTTGTCATGGCCTTTCAGACATTGGAAATCGCCTGTTCAGGAATCTTTACTTCGCCCAACAGGTCGAGTTATTTTGTAACAATGTGTGCTGGGGGCTGGAGATTTCTTTTCAGAAGGTGACATGATTGGTGGGGATATGTGGGCATATGTCACTGGATTCCAGCGTGGGGGCAGCTCCGTTCCGATTTGAGGTTCCGAACCCGTCCGTTCCAGAGACTTGAGGTCACGTGCGCTGGGGCTCTTGGTGGATGTCTTGGGGAGTTTGTGGTGCCAAGGTGGTGCCTTGGAGGACACCTGGGACGAGGGCATAGGATCGCCTGATCCGAAAGATGGACAGGATGGACATCTGTGTCATAAGTGAAGACGACACAAGAGGACTGATTCCTTCACCGGGCTATTTGTTGCCTGATGTACCATGGTCAAAAGTCATCCTACCCTCACATCAAGGACATCCAAGGGCCCCCATGAGCCCTATCCAAAATGGATGACCATCCCTTTCAGCCATCCACAACCATGCATTTCGACAATGGCCCACATGACTGAACATTGCACCGCTGTGCCCGTGTGTGCGCATGCTCCAGTTTGCTGAGGGAGACTCGACGCGATCAAAAGACCCAACAATCATCTCCGTGGATAGATCGGATTCCGCAGATCCATCGACAAAAATCTCCACAGATGTTGATCTGTAAGATGTTGATCTCCACAGATCCATTGGATTCCTTTGGTTCGAAGATCCCTTCACTTCTCCGATCCTTCCGACTTACGGTCGTACCTATTCTCCGACGTTCGATTCTCACCGCTGAGTTCCTGTGCATACAGCTCGCCTTGGCCCTACCATTGCGCTTCTTCGTTGCCCGGAAGACCCTCCTGGAGTTTGTCGGTCGTAAGACGCCCAACGGACTGGAGAGCAGCACGGCGGAAGCTCCAAACGTGCGCACGTGCGGGTGTGGACTGTTTTTGCGCCGCAAGCAAAACGGACAGAAGAACATGGAGAAAGGTGTTTGAGGCTTAGTTTGTCATGTTCTTCAAGAATATGTCCACAAGTCTCACAAACTTACAGTAATTAGTGGAATATAGTGGAATGGAATGGAAGAAAGCTGTCCCTGACTGCTCAAGATCCCCACCAACTGCCTCAAGAACTTGCTGACTTTGTTTGGTCTGTCGGACTTGTTGACCGGGTCAAACCGCCAGAACTCGAAAACGGACATGGAAAAACAAACACTCATTCTGGCTCTGACGGTTTCTAGATGTTTCTATACTGTGAAGTCGCACTCTTCGGACTGGGAGGGATCCGAAGGATGCAAAGCTTGTGACTGGGAGTGTCCTTTTATAGCTTTTTGGTGCATCCAAGAGCACTGCTAAGCGGCGTTGCTTCAAAGTCTGCCAAGTCTATCTAAGTCTGGTCAGAATGAGCAGTAGCCAAAACTCCCCCTGCATGCACAGGTGCCTGTGTCATATTGGCGCGGGCAATCGAAACCCTGTGCTGTGTGGTTCTTAACATCAGTTGTGTAAGCAAGCACAAAATAAGCAAAGCCCTCAAGCAAGCAGTGCTGTGGCCAGTGCTACTGTAAGACCTGCGAAACCACGAGGGTGAACAATCCATGTGACACGGGCATAGACTAATAAAGGTTGAATCACACATTTAGGCCGAAGGGACATGCAATGATTCCACCAAAGCTGGATTCTGCGAGACCCCCGATCTTCACCGCTCAAATGTTCATTGCCTGCATGGACTTTCCCCAAGGAGCCTGCGTCGCTTTCTTCTTGGTCTCCTTGGCGACCTGCGTGGCCTTGCCCCAAGTCTCCCTGGCCACGGTTTTGGGCTATGTCTCCAGTGACTTGTTTCTCAGATGGTCCCACCGCGAAGTAGAAGGTTCCGATGAATCCATAATTAGCTAGGCCAGGACGCCAAATTGGTCGGCCAGGCATGAGATTTTTGGTTGAGTTGTTGAATTGTTGGGTGCAGAACTTTATCCAAGAGTAAGTGGTGTAATCCGCAGTTGCGGAAGCCTATCCTTCTTGTCCGTGCGGGGTACTGCCTGTTGGGCCTGTTGTCATGCAATTGTTGTTGGACAGTGTCCCCAGCTTTTCATGATTCGATCAAGACTTGTGAATTAAATGATTATCATGTCTCCCTAGGTGCATTGTCGGATTTTGATGGCTGAGGCATATGTGCGAGCATGATCATTTACATTCTGCCTGCTTCTATCGATCTGTATTTCCAACTTCCTGGTCGAGGTCGAAAATTCTCTTCGCTGGTGAGTTTGATTGCTGCTCGTTCTGCATTTTCAGGAGTTTGTCAAGGTTGTTTCAGTTCAATGTTCAACTAGAGAGCCTCGTCCTTCCTCGGGCATGTCAAAAAGGCACATGCAGAAAGCCCCCCTTAACCCATATCAATCCTGAGATGAAAAGCTTGGGTCAAATGGTTGCCAATCTTGCAGCAGGCTGACAGGGCTGTAATGTTTGGAACTAACCAAACGATGTGACGACTATGTCACTACCTATGTCCTACTTTTGTTTCTATGTGAGAGGAAGACATAGTTAGCCTATTTGTTTGGACGGCAGACTTCTAGCATCTCCGAACCAATTCAAAGCAGATCAAGGCAGCTTGCCTTAAAAAGCTCTGGACACCTCAAATTCGCACAAACTCACCATCATCCCTCGAGGTGGGGCTGTTTGTCCTCTTCGGCGGTGTTTATGCCAATTACGCTGGGGTGGCCGTTGGCAGCTGACCAAGACGGCGGCGTGACCCTGCGGATTGCTTTGAAAAAGTGTCCTGCCGCTGCGTGAACGACATGGAGAGGCTGCTGTGGGAACGAGGGAGAACGAGGGTCTCGTTTCTTTGGGTAAGGAGCTTTTCAACTCTGTAAGCTGTGGGGCTTTTGAGATTTTTGAGTAGGAGTCTTGCCATTGAAACTTCACTGCGGGTCAAAAATATAAGGGGTTGCATGGTTGTTCTGTTGGCAGATCAACACCCAGTAGACTGCAGATGTGAGCTATTTGGTCCTCTACCAGGGCAATCGTGTCCAAAAACGATCCAACTTGGCTGGCTTTGGGATGATGCTGAGAAGGTGTTACGGGATGTCATGTAAAACTGCAGGTTTTGGGGCGTTGGGTTTTGCGTCACTTGAGCAATGAGTGTGTGTGAAACCTGGATTGATTGATCCTTTTGCCCACACTGGAGCAAAGAGTCACGGAACTGGCCAATTGCGCAGAAAGCGTTCAAAGGAGCTGGACACCCACAGAGACGTGGGGACTTCGCAGGAGCAAAGTTTTGATCCAGGCCACACCCAACTCAGCTCACGAATGTTCTCCGAGGCATGCGCGGCTTGGGATACTACCGAGATCCCAAGCAGGACCTGGGTGTCAAGGGCGTCGGGGCACCCAGACAGTGGAAGGAAGGGAAGCCTAAACAGACATAAACAGACAATATATATATATATATATTGAATTGTATTATAGGCATAAATTATGAGAGCTGCTTAAAAAGAAAAACCTGCTATTGGTGAGGGTCATGGCACCCTGCTTGACCCCCTGACAATGTGCGTGCGAGGTTTGGGGGGCAAAAAGGTGTTAGCTTTAAGACAGACTCAGATGTTTGGAAGATCCGGATGTTGAATGATGTTGAGCAAAGGCCTTAGCTCGACCCCGGTAGAAAATGGGACAGAGACGTTGATCCAGAGCCACCAATTGAAGGATAGACCCTCAACCAGTTTGGTATTGCAAGCGTCCCTGTGATTCCCCTCAGTTCGATAAAATGTGTTTGGGCATGTTTTGGCGTGTGGAATATTCCCTGAAACTGATAGAGCACCCACCTGTTAGGCAACACGTTCATGGTGTTCAAACCTACCCTGGTCTACCCTTGTCACGTTTGCTTCAAGGTGGGGTAAACTGGGTAAACAATGTGTTCAATTCTTGAATGCGTTGTGGCTTCATGAGTCGATGAGTGTCCGACCGGTAGTTGATCGCCTCTAAACCGCCGGAAAGATCATTTGACTGTGGCAACTGCCCGGCCTGCCCTCTTAGGAAGTCAAGGAGGAGAAGAAGGCGAAGGTCAAGGAGGAGGACGAGAAGAAATGAGCCGAGCTGCGAGCTGCGCTGCTCGCCCACTGGTCGGTCCGTCGCTCGCGCTGGCGGAGATGCGTGTTTGGAAACAATGGATTTATTGGCAAAGAAGAAGAAGAAGACACCTGTTGGATCCTATTGGTTTATGCTGGTTTCTATTTTGTTCGATGTTATTCTTGTGAACATGGCAACATCAGTGACAAGTACCTTCCCTCTATTTTCGCTTCTCAGATGCCTGTGTTATCCTGTGCTCAGAGCGAGGGCGGAGAAGGAGAAAGATGCACGGAAGGTCCTGAGGGAAAGCGCTTTATATACTTGCTTTATTATGCACTATTACCATAGGTCGTACAGGTCCGTAGATAAAAGCTGAGTAGAGGTCACAGATTGCCGCAGTTCGACCACATCAGACTCATACAAAATACAAAAACATGTCGAAAAAGCCACAGATTTTGCCGACTGCCATAACTGAAGATGTGCCAATTCTAGGGTGTGGTATTCCTGAAGATTATATTGTTTGATATTGTACCCACTTGAATTGTGTTTGGCTTGAGCTTCCAAAGTCTTCACAGCGTCAAAACGTCCAGCCATTAGACTACTAGAGCAGTGAAGGAGCATGAGTTAGGCATATTCCTGACAATATCCTTGGCGCGTGGGTTTTTTTCAAGAGAGCCACGCTGGCGGCGGTGGCCAGAAGCCAGAAACCCAAGAACCACCAAGCTGAATCCAATTGATGCAACTGTACCAGACTACCCTCCCAGGTGCCATTCTTGACCACAGATTGAACAAAGAAAGCTCACACAGCACACGCAGAAAAGGCAGCACACTGGCTTTGCCCAAGCCTTTCTTGGCATTTCTTGACTAATCCACATCCCAAGAACTCGTTCCACATCGTTCCACGACGATCCCGGGTTTTGCGCAAAGAGAACAGACCGAACCTACTAGTGCAGCCCTTCACATCGGGTCACATCTAGACCCTGTTCCGAAGGAATGTCACTTGGACCCTGTGATTTCACTTCAGCACCAGTGGGACCCCGTGAAAAACACAGTTACACGGACACAGTTACACAGTTGGAATGCGTGCGGTGGGCTGATATGGGCTGATGGCAGTAAGGCGTGATGTATGGAGATCTTAGAGCAGTCGACAGGTTGCACCGGAAGGAACTTGTTCTATGAACAACCAGCAATGTCCCAACGGTTCTTGGTCAAGTCAACAGTTCTTGGTGGCGTGTTCTTTGGTCCTTTGGTCACAGTTCCATTTGTGCTAGTGGCAAATGGTGGTTCCTAGGCAGTAACGATGGCCTTCCATCATGATTGGAAGAGCCAAAGATTGTTGGTGAAGGAAGAAAGACAATGGAGAAAGAGGTCCTACCTCACTCTGTCTCGAGTGTGATTGGGGTTGTCCAGTCTTGATTGGATCTGTTTTCCCAGAGTAGCAAGACTTAGTAGGTTGGGGCCCAGATAGATTTAAAGGGTCCACCTCTTTGGTAAAGGGGATTCTCCATGTCACGGAAGAAGCTGAACCACAACATACCTTGGCATCCATTCCTAAGGAAGATTGCTTTGGAGTAGCTATAGAACTTGCTTTCACATATTGAATGCATATCCATTAAGTTAGGCCATTTGTTTCGATGGATTCATTGGTCCATTTGTGAGGCCGCCAGTTGGAGCCTGTCCGTCTCCATGGACATGCTTGTTCGACGCAAGGCGTGGGAACGCCCGGGAGACGAGTGGAGCATAAGTCAGTTGTGTTAAGACCAAGACCTTGGACTTTTGATGCGATGCTTCAACGCTCAGACAGAAAAAATCATACGGTACGGTAAGTGTATTTGTCTCGAATGGCTTGATCATTTGATCATCTCAACTGTGGCTGACCGCATCGCAGGGCCCCTCGGTCTCCTCGGTTGCCGCCTTGCCGTGGCGCTGCATCGATCTCCGCCCGGCGCGCCACGTGGTCCGCGCAGTCCGCGCGGCGCTCCCGGCGCTTGCAACGCCGCGAGAGAACGAGGACGGGAGCCGCCAGCCCCAGGAGGGCTGGGGTGGATGTCAGAGGTACTCACAGCAGTTGCATGCACCGGAAAAAGTGAGCCTATGCGAGCCTAACAAGTGACATCAGGCTTTTGCTGTGGGTGTGGCTGCGGAGCTGTGAGATATAGAAGTTTTGCCTGTTTTCCGTCAAGAGTGGGCTACGGGACACCTCGAGCGTTTGGTCAAACAATAGTCTTGCAAGCAGTCTTACCGTGACTTGGAACTGCGACGTCCAAAGTTTCAAAGGGGCAGTATATGCGCTGCATACAAGTAGTGGTCTTGCGCTGCATAGGTCGCTTCACTTGCAATGGACGGAAAAAGGATGAGCCACGTGAATCATGACGTAAGCTTCCTACCTGATTCTGTGGAAGGGCATGGAGGGCCCATTGCTGGACATGCCTGTTTTTGGTTTGTAAGAGGGTGCTGTATCAACTCTTGTGATCCACTTTGCTCAAAATTATGGTGAAACGGAAGAATTCGCTTTGTTCAAGCCACTGCTGTAAGAGGCTCCTCCTGGCCTTGGCCTTCTGTGCGGCTCTGGTCACCTGGGCTGTGCACCTGCTGGATGAGCATCGTGCACGACGGTGGCTGCGGCATTGGCATCGATGGTGGCGGCACCATAGGCTCAGCAGCTTAAAGAGTCATGTTGGTGCTCCAACCACAACCAACCCAGCTCACCCTGATATATCCTGAAATGCAGCTTATGATTTATTTATGTGCCATCCCACTGACTCAGCGGCTTTGCCGGATCCTCATGCTTTCCCGGGTTTCTCAGTGTGTTTGCGCCTCCCGTCCCATGCTCAGTTCGTGTGCCATCGCATGCTTCGACTGCAGCAGGTCCTGGTTCACCAACGAGCGCCTCGCCATCCTCGGCGCGCTGCTGCTGGCGCTGCTCAGCGCTCCGCAGCGCGCGGAGCGACGGCGCCAGCAGCTGCGCCGCAGCGGCCGCAGCAGAGGAGCAGCTGCACGTACGCCCACATCCGAGAGGCTGCGTGGGAAGGGGTCAGATGCGCTAACAGGTTGATAGGTTGATAGTGATTGGTGGCTCACAGGCTGCTTGGATTTGGTTGGCTGGTTGATTTAGTTTGGTGCTCTGTAGGTTCATGTTGGCTGGATTGATTGGTCGGTTGGTTTGCTTCGTCGCCTAAATGAGTGTTTGAGTTCCTTAGACATGGGTTTCTTATGGTTTCTTCATGTCTCTTCGGTTCTTTCCTTTTCTTCCCAGGCGTTCTTCCCGGGTCACCCCAGTCTCCGCTGTGAGTGCGCGGGAAGATGCCTTGGAGCAGCTGCATCGAACCCTCCAAGAGGCGGTGGGGTCGGCGACGCACGGCATCGTCTCATGAGGGTCGGTCACTGTGACGCGATGCGTGGGTTCGGGGTTCCAGGTTCGGGTTTGACTCCAAGTACAGTTAAGTTAGGCAAATGAGGCAGATTACTTGGAGCAGAGCATCAGGAAAAGGGCGCAAGAAGCTGGAGCACTTGCGAAGAAGCAAGCAAACCGGAGAGGTTCCAACATCTACCGCAACTTGGGGTGATTCTTGCGGCACCCGAGCCCACCCGGCTCCAGTTACCCAGGGCGATGCCGTGCGCGCCGCGATCCTCATTGAGACCTGGGGTCAAGGCGGGTCCGTCACGGACGTCC